AAGGTCAATAAATAGAGCTGCACAACTCTGCTTTTTATCTAAAATACTTGTAATGTCATTCACCACTTTCATTGTGGCAGTGATGGTGCTATGTTGCTTTCTGAAGCCTGACTGATGTTTAGACAGGATATTATTTGTACATAAAAACTCCTTTACCTGTTCACTCACTAGGCGTTCAAGAACCTTAGCCAGAACTGACAATTTCGAGATTGGCCTATAGTTATTTAAAATAGTTGCCTCCCCTCCTTTTAGTAGTGGCAGGACATACGCTGACTTCCACAATTTTGGAATTGTGTTTGTGCTGAGGGAGAGGTTAAAAAGAGTAGTGAGAGGTGGAGCAATAAAATCTGCAGCTATCTTTAAAAAGAAAGGTTCTACGTTGTCCGGGCCGGCCGGTTTCTTAGGATCTAACTTAGATAAAGCTTCATGAACAACATTTACAGTAAAAGGAGTAAAACTGAAAGGGTTTTCCAGACCACATTGTTCAGAGTCACCGACTGTGGTGTTCACAGAAGCAGAGTTAGTCACAGAATCAAACATAGAATCGCAGGACACAAAATGCTCATTAAAACAACATAGGATATTCACAACATGACGGGAGCTTGTTACCTCGTACTCCACTAGTCTCCTCTCTGCCAGGTCCGCCTTGTTCCCAGCCAGAGCGATCACGATGTTGGGACTGGCCTGCCTCTGCAGCTCCTTCACCCAGGCCTTCGCTCGCTCAAAGGTGTCCTAAACACACAGCAGGAGGTCAGAGAAACTACAACACACAGGTAAACACCAGGTACAGAGGACAGAGAAACTACCAACACACAGGTAAACACCAGGTACAGAGGACAGAGGTCAGAGAAACTACAACACACAGGTAAACACCAGGTACAGAGGACAGAGGTCAGAGAAACTACAACACACAGGTAAACACCAGGTACAGAGGACAGAGGTCAGAGAAACTACAACACACAGGTAAACACCAGGTACAGAGGTCAGAGGTCAGAGAAACTACAACACACAGGTAAACACCAGGTACAGAGGACAGAGGTCGGAGAAACTACAACACACAGGTAAACACCAGGTACAGAGGACAGAGGTCAGAGAAACTACAACACACAGGTAAACACCAGGTACAGAGGACAGAGGTCGGAGAAACTACAACACACAGGTAAACACCAGGTACAGAGGACAGAGGTCAGAGAAACTACAACACACAGGTAAACACAGAGGTCAGAGAAACTACAACACACAGGTAAACACCAGGTACAGAGGACGTCAGAGAAACTACAACACACAGGTAAACACCAGGTACAGAGGTCAGAGGTCAGAGAAACTACCAACACACAGGTAAACACCAGGTACAGAGGACAGAGGTCAGAGAAACTACAACACACAGGTAAACACAGAGGTCAGAGAAACTACAACACACAGGTAAACACCAGGTACAGAGGACAGAGGTCAGAGAAACTACAACACATAGGTAAACACCAGGTACAGAGGACATAGGTCAGAGAAACTACAACACACAGGTAAACACCAGGTACAGAGGACAGAGGTCAGAGAAACTACAACACACAGGTAAACACCAGGTACAGAGGACAGAGGTCAGAGAAACTACAACACATAGGTAAACACCAGGTACAGAGGACAGAGGTCAGAGAAACTACAACACACAGGTAAACACCAGGTACAGAGGTCATAGGTCAGAGAAACTACCAACACACAGGTAAACACCAGGTACAGAGGACAGAGGTCAGAGAAACTACAACACACAGGTAAACACCAGGTACAGAGGACAGAGGTCAGAGAAACTACAACACACAGGTAAACACCAGGTACAGAGGTCAGAGGTCAGAGAAACTACAACACACAGGTAAACACCAGGTACAGAGGACAGAGGTCAGAGAAACTACAACACACAGGTAAACACCAGGTACAGAGGTCAGAGGTCAGAGAAACTACAACACACACAGGTAAACACCAGGTACAGAGGTCAGAGAAACTACAACACACAGGTAAACACCAGGTACAGAGGTCAGAGGTCAGAGAAACTACAACACACAGGTAAACACCAGGTACAGAGGTCAGAGGTCAGAGAAACTACAACACACAGGTAAACACCAGGTACAGAGGACAGAGGTCAGAGAAACTACAACACACAGGTAAACACCAGGTACAGAGGACAGAGAAACTACAACACACAGGTAAACACCAGGTACAGAGGTCAGAGGACAGAAAAACTACAACACACAGGTAAACACCAGGTACAGAGGTCAGAGGTCAGAGAAACTACAACACACAGCTAAACACCAGGTACAGAGGACAGAGAAACTACAACACACAGGTAAACACCAGGTACAGAGGACAGAGGTCAGAGAAACTACAACACACAGGTAAACACCAGGTACAGAGGACAGAGAAACTACAACACACAGGTAAACACCAGGTACAGAGGACAGAGGTCAGAGAAACTACAACACACACAGGTAAACACCAGGTACAGAGGACAGAGGTCAGAGAAACTACAACACACAGGTAAACACCAGGTACAGAGCTCAGAGGTCAGAGAAACTACAACACACAGGTAAACACCAGGTACAGAGGACAGAGGTCAGAGAAACTACAACACACAGGTAAACACCAGGTACAGAGGACAGAGGTCAGAGAATGCTTTGCATTAACTTGAACTATCCCCTTTATTTAAAGCAGTATTTTGAACCTTACTCGTCAAATTATCAAGTTAGACACTCTGTCCAGATGTATTTCTCTGTCCCCTCTGCAAAAAGATGTATTGTCAGAAGAGCGTTGATGTTTAAAGCCCCAACAGACTGGAATACTTGACCTGCTGCTATCAGATCCCTGTCCTCATTGGGTACGTTTCAGCATTCTCATCTCTCTTTCAGCTGCTCTTGTTATTGATGAAACTGATCTATTTGACACTACTGTCTATCAAACTGTAATGATTGTATGGATTACTTCATGCATTTTACTTAACAGACTGCACGTGGTTTGTCCTTGTTTGTCATGCTTTGCTTTCTGTTATTTTGTTCATGTATGTCTGTAAGACGTTGCTTCTGTGTATACATTTCTATATACACAGGTAAACACCAGGTACAGAGGTCAGTGAACGTGTGCTTGAACAAAACATGAATATAGGAAGCTTTTATCAGCAGTTAGAGGACAAACTGCTCAGCAATGAGATGTGTAGTATACTGATAAATATTAATATTAATACCTGGTTGTCTGGGATGTTTTATAACTAATGATCTACTAGCGATGTAAGATTTCACCTCAAAAGAATCAGAGATACTTTTTTGATTTACTTCATTCTGTGGATGTAATCTGTGTATACTGTACCGGCTTGGTGATGTCGAAGACCACGATGGCGGCCTGAGCTCCTCTGTAGTACATGGGGGCGAGGCTGTGGTAGCGCTCCTGTCCCGCCGTGTCCCAGATCTCAAACTTCACCGTGGTGTCGTCTAAACACACCGACTGAGCCAGGAACGCCGCTGAGCGAGAAGGAGGGAAATGACAAGTTACCAGGTGCTCTTCAAACCTTTGAACCACAACAGCAAAACCATAGCAGCTTACAAACTGGTGCAGTATACACCCAGCTTCATTTATCCAGTCGTAAGGTCGCTATCTCTCTACATTTTCACTCTAACCATACTATTCAGAAGTCTTGTGAAGTATTGAGCACATGAGTGGATGAATGGTACTTGGATTAAAACGTGTAATTTCCTGAGCTCTGTCAAGATTAATTGAAGTATTCCTTTACAAACCACCTGACTTTTAGCACTCTTTTCCCCGCAGACACGACTTTAAACCATCAGTGTCACTATTGTGGGGATGTAGGAATGTACCTGTGTCTGGTGCGGAGCCTCCCTGCACTTTAAATCAATTGATTTGCCTTTTTATTTATCGTATTTTCTGCTGTTAATGCATTGTGCTCATGTCGGGTGATGCGCTCCCTGGAGCCCTCCTGTGGGGAAACTTGGAACTGCACTTAAATCACTTGGTGCTTTTTAAGCCATTTAAAATAGTTGTTCTCACTTTTAAAATACTTTCTGCCCTAGAAATGATTTTTAATCAGTATTACCATTATTTAGGGGCTGCATGAACACGAATTTGAGCATCCCTGCACACTTTCCTCCTATTTAAAACACTTTTCAGTGAGGTGCTGCAGCCTGCTTCTCTCCTGTTTCTCTGCCCCTATTTAAAACACTTTTCCTCCTAAAACACTTGCTAGAGGTGAAATCTCTATTTCAGCCCTGATTTTGGCACATCTTGTAAATTAGTTAAATTTACCCTCGTGTTTTTATTGAAGTCGCTGTTCATTGTTTGTTATATAAAGCAGATTTAATGATATCCTATGGACGCTGATGTGTGGATGTTGTGTCCTTTTGATAACTTTGTTGAGCTTGTTTTTAGCTGCATGTCTTTTTCTATCTCACTGAACAAAGTCCCTGTGTGTGAACTGGTTCAGCTGGTAAGGCTGGTTATGAATCAGAGGGAGGAGCTGTAGACAGGGGAGGGAAGTTGAAAGTGAAAGTTTGAAGTCAAACTGCCAGATGCCATTTTACAGCTCGACACGAGGAGAACAACAGGGTGAGTGTTAACACCAGGATCTGCTTTTTAACACATTTATTATTTACTCTGTCAAACTGGATGTCAGAAAATAAGTTCTTGGTTAACAATCTGCGTCCTAGAGTCCAATGAGACTTCTGCAAGTGTTGTACACTTTTATTACTTCCTGTTTTCTGAGTTACATAACATGTGACAGCCCAGCGCAGTCAAAATGGAGAACGGCCTGTCTGAAGTCTGACTGATTTCGTGTGTGTGTGTGTGTGTGTGTGTGTGTGTGTGTGTGTGTGTGTGTGTGTGTGTGTGTGTGTGTGTGTGTGTGTGTGTGTGTGTGTGTGTGTGTGTGTGTGTGTGTGTGTGTGTGTGTGTGTGTGTGTGTGTGTGTGTGTGTGTGTGTGTGTGTGTGTGTGTGTGTGTGTCAGACTGGAGAAGATGAGTGATTTTAAAGATGAGGAAGAGGACAAATCTTCAGTCTCCAGCGGTCTGTCTCTGAAGAGTGAGCGGTCTATGGGTCATCCTCCAGTCTTCAGTAATGAACCTGGACCCTCAGACACAAAGTAAGAGTTTCTACTGTAAACTGACCTGAAGAGGATCCAGTTTGTTGGTATCTGATAATCTAAACTGTTTAATGAAACCCAGTAGAGTACATTAACAAAGTGGAATTGATCTCTTGCTTCTTGTCATCATCAGAGATAGTAAATAATCTACTAGTGAAATCATCCTCACACTCTACATGTTGGACTTTGTGTTCAATTAAGCAAATAAAATACAAATATGTAAAACGTTTCACACTCGAATGAATTTTAACAACAGAAACCCACAATCACGACTCAACAACTCTAAACATCTTTAATAAGGTGAACAGTCATAGATCAAAAGCTGCTCTTTAAATAAACTAATGATGTTTTAAACATGTGTTGTTTCCACAGACAGAGAGCAGAGTCTACGGTCTCCATGTGGTCTCTGAAGAGTGACCGGTCTATGGGGGAACCTCCATACTTCAGTAATGAACCTGGACCCTCAGACACAAAGTAAGAGTTTCTCCTGTAAACTGACCTGAAGAGGATCCAGTTTTTATGTAATCTAATATATTAAACTGTTCTTTAATGAAATCATGTGAGCAGTAAGCTAACATTATTATTATAGGTATTGTCCTCCTGTGCCTCGCTCATTTTTTACCGTTTTGATGGTCTGCAAACTAGCGGGGCGGGGCCTGCTGTGATCTGATCAAGAATGATTGTGATTGGTGGTTTGCTGTGCATGCAGAGCCTGCATGTCACTCACTCAAGTACCCCTGACATGAGAGCCGCGCAAGTTTTCCTTTTGTAGCAAGCAGCAAAATAATTGTAACATGTCGTGTTTGAGTTAATTTACCTACTTAATATCGCACGTGCGGTTATCGCCATGACACGATATATCGTTCAGCCCTAGTCCCTAAGCACTCCTCTCCCTCCTCCAGCTGCAGATTGTAACCAATTCTTGAAGTTTAGCTCGGATGACGGCACGTATCGAACTGTTCTGATAAACGACTCTGGAGCTCGTTGTCTACCTTGCTATGATTGTAAAGTCATGTTGTTTGTATTTTTACAACGTTATGTTCAGGAGTTATTGATCCACGAAATTCGAATCTGTCAATAACTCAGCTCAGAGTATGCTTTGCGACGTGCATGTCCCCTCGCTCTGAGTGTTCTCTTGAGGTGTCTTTCACTTATGTGAAACCCCTATTGCCAAGCACTGATGTTATATTTAAGGCCAAGCTCAAAGTAAAATCGATGAACCGCTCCATTGTTGTGGTTTCTGTGTTGCCGAACTGACCAGGAAGTACATTGAGCTAAATTAAAAGTTTTGCGAGATCTCGCAAAACTTTTTTTAAATTTTTTCATATCATTTTTTTCTTCTTCTCCATGTCCCCTAGGGGGCTCCGTAACAATCCGTGTATCTACCGTCCATTTGTTTTTCTTTATTAAACACGTAAACGGAAGAGCGTCTGAGAGGCGTTTTTGCTTTTTGCTTTTTACCTTACTAAATGGTCTAATGGTCATTGGAGCGAGGGGCGGGGCGAAACTCACGGAAGTGATTTCAAAACAAAAGCACTCGTTTGCTAAAATCACACTTTGAATCACTACAGTATCCTGCTGAAGGAACGGTGATTATTATAAACAAGGGGAATTTAGCGATCACAACGAAAACGGTCAAGACACATATTGAGCCCAGAAAATGGATGTTATTAAGGGCTGTAAATATAATAAGCCTATGTCTAAAATGGACACCATTGTTAGGAGATGTAAACTATAGCCTACAGCGATTCTGCACTGCGGTCAACTCACCCGCCTCTCTCAGCTGCTCTTCATTATTCCTGCTATATTTGACGAGTGAAATATTTTTAAGGAAACTGACACTCTTGGACTTGGTACTAGTTTGACTTCTACCAGAAATAAAATGAAGTACTTTTACTGTGTACTTTGTGAGTAATCCTCTGTCAAAGTTCCCTCCATAATGCATGTTTTTCTGCTATCTTTGATGAATGATACAAATATAATTTTACCATTAGTTCTTAATGAAATTGATACTGTTTGACTTTGTATTAGATAGCCTACTACTTACAATACATTGAAGTACTTTTACTGTGTATTCTTTGAGAAATACTCTGTCAAAGTCCCCTGCTGGACAGTGACGAGTGCTTTTGTTTTGAAATCACTTCCGTGAGTTTCGCCCCGCCCCTCGCTCCAATGACCATTAGACCATTTAGTAAGGTAAAAAGCAAAAAGCAAAAACGCCTCTCAGACGCTCTTCCGTTTACGTATTTAATAAAGAAAAACAATTGGACGGTAGATCCACGGATTGGAGACAGACCTGACAAAGCATTAACTCAGGCTTTTTACAAATCAGTATCATTCTGTTGTTATTCAGGCATCCTTTCCATATGTTTACTGCTATGAATTCACAGCAGATTCTATGCAAGTTGGGTTTATAGTGTACCAGGTTAATACAGCTGTGTGTGTAGATACAGGGAACGTGTGCTCCTCTGGGGGATGAATCCAGACAGGATGCTCTCTGGTTTTATGATCATGTGAATTGTAAGCTATCTACCTGATCACAAGGGTATATATTATATAGACCTTTTTTTAAATATCAAACTAGAATGTGCCCCCTTGTTGCACCTTTGGTGAGAATCAGCCCCTCTGAAGTAAAGTGCTATAAAGGATGTGTTCATCTCCACAGAGGGAAGAGGAAGAGTGGTGTTCCTGTGGAGGAGCATCTGTCCAGCTGTGCTCTGTGTCAGGACGTCCTGAAGGATCCAGTCTCTACCAGCTGTGGACACTGGTTCTGCAGACAGTGCATCACCTCATACTGGGAGCAGAGACCTCCATCAGGAGACCCCTCCTGTCCCCAGTGTGGAGAAAGATCCAGAACCAGAGCTGGCCTGCAGACAGCCAGTCAGACCAGCTCTGTACGAGGTAAGAGGCCGAACTCATGCAGCGTCTTATTCCTCTTCCTGGTTCATTTGTTTTGTTTATTAGGTATTCTGTTGAAGAACAAAGACATTAAAATGTTTATAAAACATTTAAACTCAGTTTGTTTGTATTAGTTTTATTGTTATATTCTCAAAAGCATTTTCCTATTCTCTCCTGTTTCCTTCTCTTCCAGCAGATAGTGGTCTGCAGGAGGTTTTAGATGAACATAGGCTCAGTCTGAGGAGGAGATGTGAACATGTGGCTGAAGGAACTGATGAAAGTGAAACCAGCCTCAACAGCATCTTCACTGAGCTCTACATCACACAAGGCCAGAGTGAAGAGGTTAATACCCAACATGAGGTGAGGCAGCTGGAGACAGCTTCCAAGAAAGAGACCCTCCATGACACTCCAATCAAGTGCCAGGACATCTTTAAAGCCTTACCTGACCAACAGACTCACATCAGAGCGGTCCTGACCAACGGAGTCGCTGGAGTTGGAAAAACCTTCTCAGTGCAGAAGTTCACTCTGGACTGGGCCGAGGGTTTGGAAAACCAAGATGTCAGTCTGGTGATCCCGCTCTCCTTCAGGGAGCTGAACCTGATCAAAGGTGAGCAGTACAGTCTTCTCAGGCTGCTCCATGTTTTCCATCCAACCTTACAGAAGGTCACAGCAGAGCAGCTGGCTGTCTGCAAAGTGCTGCTCATCTTTGACGGCCTGGATGAAAGCAGACTTTCTCTGGACTTCAGAAACCATGAGGTTGTGTCTGATTTCTCACAGCAGTCCTCAGTCAACGTGCTGCTGACAAACCTCATCAGGGGGAAGCTGCTTCCCTCGGCTCTCGTCTGGATAACTTCCAGACCTGCAGCGGCCAATCAGATCCCTCCTGAGTGTGTGGACAGGGTAACAGAAGTACGAGGCTTCACTGACGCCCAGAAGGAGGAGTACTTCAGGAGGAGATCGAGTGATGAAGACCTGTCCAGCAGAATCATCTCTCACATCAAGAGCTCCAGGAGCCTCCACATCATGTGTCTGATCCCAGTCTTCTGCTGGATCACTGCTGCAGTTCTGGACCACATGTTGACTACAGACCAGAGAGGAGAGCTGCCCCAGACCCTCACTGACATGTACTCACACTTCCTGCTGGTCCAGACCAAGAGGAAGAAGCAGAAGTATGAAGAGGGACATGAGACGAGTCCACAGCAGCTGACGGAGGCTGACAGGGAGCTTCTTCTGAAGCTGGGGAGGCTGGCGTTTGAACATCTGGAGAAAGGGAACATCATGTTCTACCAAGAAGACCTGGAGCGCTGTGGTCTTGGTGTCACCGAGGCCTTGGTGCACTCAGGAGTTTGTACAGAGATCTTCAAAAGAGAGAGAGTGATTTTCCAGAAAACAGTCTACTGCTTTGTTCATCTGAGCATTCAGGAGTTTCTGGCTGCAGTCTACTTGTTCCACTGTTACACCAACAGAGACACAGAGGTACTGAAGCACTTCCTGAAGAAAGACTGGCCCTATGAGAACAGTAAAAACAGTGATCAGGATTACCCATCCCTGGATGTCTTCCTAAAGAGAGCCATGGTGAAATCCCTCAGAAGTGAAAATGGCCACCTGGACCTGTTTGTCCGCTTTCTCCACGGCCTCTCTCTGGAGTACAACCAGAGACTGTTAGGAGGCCTGCTGGGTCGCACAGACAACCGTCCAGAAACCGTCCAGAGAGCCATCAGAGGCCAGCTGGGTCGCACAGACAACCGTCCAGAAATCATCCAGAGAGCCATCCGCAACCTGAAGAAGATGAACAGTGATGACATCTCTCCTGACAGGACCATCAACATCTTCCACTGTCTGACAGAGATGAAGGACCTCTCAGTACATCAGGAGATCACAGAGTTCCTGAAGTCAGAGAACAGATCAGAGAAGGAACTCTCTGTGATCCACTGCTCTGCTCTGGCCTACATGCTGCAGATGTCAGAGGAGGTTCTGGATGAGTTGGACCTGATGAAGTACAACACATCAGCTGAGGGACGACGGAGACTGATTCCAGCTGTGAGGAACTGCAGGAAGGCCAAGTAAGTCCAGATGTGATTAACTTTATAAACTAATGTGGATCAGAAGTTTAATTATTTAAATACACACTATAACATTTCTGCTGTTTAAATACTGAGAGAGCAAAATAAACCAACACTGTTCTTCTATTTATTTATAATAATAGTTAAACTGAAGCGTTTCTCTCTTCATATTGAGTGATGGAGGCGACATGTCAAACACATGAAGGACTTGAGAGGTTTCTCAGCATGTGATCACACCACACAGCAGGACTTACAGTTATCAGTTATTATTACTTTCTAGTAGTTTCTTTATCATTAAACACACACACGTTTTTATCACATTAGCCGCGTTCACACCAAGTACTTTGCCGTATTTAGTGCCGGCACTCAGAGCACCGGCACTTATGACCCCAGGGCATTTAGTACAGATCGCGTTCACACCGGAGTACTTTTCCCTGAGGGAAGATTACGCAAATGAGCCGCTGACGTCACTTCGTCTTCTTCTGCTTCGGGTTTACTGGCAGGCAGCAAACAACTTCACGGCGTATACTGCCACCCGGAGTCCCCGGCCGGAAGTCCCCGGAGTTGGGGACTGGCTTCAGTAGAAGCTGCTGGGACTCCCAGCAGCTTCTACTGAAGCCTTCCGAGTAAATCGCCAGAACGCCGACACCTCCTCATCTCCACCGCTCCCATGTTTTGTTTTGTGTTGCCATAAGTTAGTCTCTCTGCGTTTGTGCGCTGGGCGAATGCTAATGCTAATAATGCTAATGCCAGCAAATAAAATGGCGGCTCTACAAAACATTTCAGAGTTGTACGGGGCGTGGTTTGCAATTCGCCCGCCAATCAGAACTGGGGCACTTTTTTCCCCCAGGAAAGTACGATCTCTCAGCAGGCACTAAACATGGGGGTAAAAGTTCCCGAGATTAAGTGCTCTTTTTGGTGTGAACGCGACATAAGGGGTACTAACGGAACTAAACGCGAAAAGTACGGTGAAAAGTACTCCGGTGTGAACGCGGCTAATGTGTTAGAGTTTAAAATCAGATCTATATCATATCCCACCAATACCAGAGTTATGTCTTAATGCTCATATAGTGAGAACATCTGATGGTATTCAGTTTAAAATATTGAAACTTTATTGGTTTGTTAACTGTGTTTGTGTGCACAATACATTTCCAGATGCTCAGAGAAGCCAAAACATCCATCATTCACATCTAAATATTAATTAACATTTAAAGGGGACCTATCATGCAAAATGCACTTTTGTACGTCTTTTCTACATGAATATGTGTCCCCGGTGTTCCAGGGAACTCACCAAGTGTCAGAAAACACAACCCTCTCTATTTTCCTCCATACCCAAATCTCTAAAAAAGGGGCTGCAACGGATCTGATAAAAACTGATCTAGATTTGAACACTGTCCTGACATCAGGACGGTGGCGCTACGGCTATTGGGCCAACTCCACCAATCAGGAGGAGACAACCACGGCCATTGCCGTTCGAAAGCGCTGGAGACGCTGTAGTACATATGCCAGGCCTGTAAGTGGCGCTGTAGTCTGCCACAAAAGCAGCGAAGAAGACTTGGTTACCATGGTTACCCTTCTGTTTATTCTCCGCTGTGGCTTTCTTTCTCCCTCCCCGAGGCAAGCGTTTGCTCCCGCTGCAATGCAATCCCTCCCCGTCGAGGCAAGCACTGTAATTCTCTCCGGTTAGTCCACCAGCAGATGACAAACACCCACCTCTCCGCCTCTTCCAAGGAACGAGGGGACCGTGCGGCAGAGTTTCAGTTTCAGTTTCTTTCGCCGGTCAAGATGTCCGTTAAAGTTTAAATCTTGTGCCGGTGTGCCGGTCAAAGGTCTTCTTTGTTATTCATTTGTTTTAAAGCTCAATAAATAACGACTCTATATAATAAAACACGGAGATCTCTTTTTCTCCCCCTCTTCTGACAGCCCAGCAGCTGATCAGAGCACGTCTCCCCTCTCCTGCAGGGGGGCGTGGTCAGCTGCAGCTCACAAAATCAGACCCGTAGACAGCAAACAGCAAATTGAGCGAAATGAGGCATGGCTAAAATGCATGATCTGTTTGGTATTTTGAAAACAGAAACGTATAAATATACCTTATATAGGTATGGCCCTACAATATATCATTTAAATATAGCATGATAGGTTTCCTTTAAAGCTCCCATGTCATGCTTTTCCGGTTATTACCCGTCCCCTTGTGTGTTATGAAGGTTTTTATGCATGTAAACGGTGTGCAGAGTCAAAACCCTCAAAGTACACCCTGTAACACAGAAAATACCTCCCCAAAACGCCTCGTTGGAGATACGTCACTGCCCATTTGAGTCTTCCATTTAGTTCCGGGTACCGCCTGATGTCATGCGGTACCCGGAACGAAATGGACCAATCCCGAAGAGCTATGGCCACACCAGCAGCGGCGTGTTCCTCCTCCAGAGGTTCGAAGAACCGGCATTTCACAGACGAAAGCTTCCAAAACATTGCCCAGTTTGAGGCCGGATATGCACAGCTTGTTTGGACCGTTTGGAGCAGGGGAAGATCTGGGTATACAACCTGTAAGTTTGCATTGTTATTTGTGTATTTATCAAACAAGACTGTTTAAATGTGTAAACTGTGTTGGACTGCTAAGCCATTGACACAGTGCTAACTGTGCTAACTAAGTTGCTAGAGTTTCCATATATCAACTCTAATATCAGCAGATGGCCTTGCATACATGTATCTCATAGCAGGAGAATGTCTGCATTCACACACAAAATACCTATTGACAGTATACTCCGGGTGATTTGCCGGTCAGTCGCGAAACGTAATTACATTATAGCTGGCGTAGCGATCTAACACACGGAGCTAGAGCTAGTTTTGGTCAGAAAAACATTTTTGTGATGCTACGTTGCTAGCGTTTAAATATATCAACTACAATGTCAGCAGATGGCCTTACATGTTTGTCATGGCAGGAGAATGTCTGCAGTCACACACACGGAATACTCATACAGTATACTGTACTGTGATTTACCGTACATTGTGACCGTACATATACTGCATGTAGCTAACGAGGCTAGCTGTATGCTAGCGCAAAACAATGTATTCATGCAAGTTACATTGTATGACCGAACGTAGCAGAATACCCGTATACGATTGCAATTATAAACACGTTATTGCTAGCCTAATATGAACCACTAGCTTTTGTTCATAGTAGTTTTATTACACTGCATTATAGTTGCCTTTCCTCCAAGCTAACGTTCATATCGTGTTAGCTACCAAGGTAAACAAAGCTAGGTTAGCATATTAGCAGGCAAGCTGTTCATTACACAACTACTACTAACGAATCTAAAACAACTAAGTTTCTCTAATATTTTGTGATTTGCATTTGATTTCGTCCAGCCAGATCCTGGCGGACAATCCATGACGGGGAAGGGATTCTACTACTACTGAGGGTGCTAAAAGGCACCGCACCGACTGTGCGCAGGCAAGATGCGAGGAGGAGGAATGGATGATATACCGTGTATATGTATATTTATGTTCATTTTGTACATTTCTAAAAATAAAGTTTAATGGAAATACTTAGTAGGCCTATCCTTTCTTCCCTGAATTCATATATAGCAAACCATGATTTGATTTCTCATCAAACAGTAGTAGTTTATAACGGGTAAAAATAACTTACTCTTTGTTATGAGAGTAGCTCGTAGGCCACAACGGAAAGACAAGGAGACATACACGAGTTTACAAAACCACGGCACATTTATTGTGGTAAATGCAGAGATAGGTGGTTGAGAGGATCGCAGAGTTAGTCTTCCTGCAGCCGCTTTGGAGAGAGACTGTGTCCGGAGGTGTCCGTGATCGTGCTGATTAGCCTCTTCAGCTCCACCCCATCGTAAGACAAAGGCCCTGGGGCCGTCACACTCTTCTATAACAACAGTTAAAAATATATATGTATATAAAATATACCGCTGTACCGACGCCATGATAAGACTGATGTTACGCTGAGAGCAGCCGGGAAAAGCACTGACATGGGCGCAGCCTCTCTGGTGGTTGACTAATCAGAACGAGTGGCCGAGCTGACCAATCGGAGCACACTAGGCTCACAGGGAGGGGGGGGCAAGAGCTCCAACGAGTCGTTTAGTGGAGAAAGTGAATACTGCTGAATACACATGCTTGACAGAGATGCTGTATGCGAAACCAATGTGAGTTTGGAAAATTGCACAGTATAAATCTATTTTAGTATACCTCAACAATGTAATTATGATCAGTGGAAATGGCCATGACATGGGCCCTTTAAATATGTATATCTGTAATATTGTCAAGTGATTTATTTAATTTCTGTTTCTTTGGTAACAGTCAGTGACAGCAGGAGCACAGACATGTGATCAGATCACACTGACAACTCATTACACTCTATTATCATATATTATTATATATAAAATGGACTAACAGCAAATCTCAATCAGAACATATGTCAAATATTTGTTTCATCAAATGCTTGAGGTCATTATGTTTCCTCTTTTTTTAACACATGTTGTAATATATGTTTTATTATAGACTTACTGACTGTGGACTCTCAGAGACTCACTGTGAAGTCGTGGCCTCAGCTCTGAAGTCTGACCCCTCCCATCTGAGAGATCTGGACCTGAGTTACAACGAGCTGAAGGATTCAGGAGTGGAGCTGCTGAGTTCTGGACTAAAGAGTCCAAACTGCAGACTGGAGGCTCTCAGGTCAGTTCACTGACTGAACTTCATCTGTTTGTATTTATCATTTTCTGAATTTGAAAAAAATACATTACAATTATTTTTCCATTTTTGCTAATGACTGAATATTGATCAGAATAACAAAGAGAAGGTGAATGTGTGAGGGAGAGAGTTTGAGCTTCCACAGACTCACTCTGTGCTCCATGAGTCTGTGGAGATGCTGTCAGTACTGATGAGCTGTGAGAAGAAGAAGAATTGGGAGGGATGAAACCCTCTTTAATGGTCACACATGCAGAGCACACAGCACACACAGTGAAATTTGGCCTCTGCATTTAACCCATCCTAGTACCAGGAGTCTAGTACTAGGAGCAGTGGGCAGCTATTGTACAGCGCCCGGGGAGCAATGGGAGTGAGGGGGGAAGGGGGGTGTCCGGTGCCTTGCTCAAGGGCACCACGGCAGGGCAGGAGGTGAACTGGGACCTCTCCAAGTAGAAGTCCACACTCCATATTTAGGTCTGGTCGGGGACTTGAACCAGCGACCCTACGGCTCCCAGTCCAAGCCCCTACTGACTGAGCCACTGCCGGACCGGAGATGTGAGATGTGAGGGAGATGAAGGAGTTGTTAAACATCTGATCAAAGTTAAAGTTCTAGATTATCAATGGATTGTTTCTACATCATCTCTGAGATTAAAGGTCTGCTATCATGCAAAAGTCACTTTCTGATGTCTGTTCTACATCACCATGTGTCCCCGGTGTCAGGAGACTCACAAAGTGTCAGGAAACAAACCCCTCTCTCTTTTCCTCCGTACCCACATCTCTAAAAACGGGGGAACAACGGAGCTGATCCAGATTTGCTGCGTCATGACGGCATTACTAAAATGTGGGCGGGCTTTACACCAACGGGCCAATCAGAAACGTTGCTGTCAGAAACAATGAGACGTGTTCTGGAAGTAATATGGTCTGTGTTTACATTAGCATGGCTAACACTCAGAGCTAACCTGTACTGGAAAGAGCATGTGTGAAGAAGCAGGAAATAAAAAGGAACTCACCTTGTGGTAAACCTGAGAGAGAGAAAGAGTTTGAGCTCCATACTGTTTCAGAGAGAATCCTTGATGTGGTTTGGAACATGATATGGAGTTTAATCACAGCAGCATTTAGCTGAGTTTCTGCTGGTAGAATTCTGATCAGGCATTAGCTCCACCTCCTTTTTTTTTTGTTCAAGCTAAGGACCCGAACCTGCTCTTCTCTAACAGCTGGAACAGAGGGATATGAGGGATTTCTAAAATGCATGATCTGTTTGGTATTTTGAGCAAAACACATCATAGACATGTTTTTATATATTTGTATATATCTGAGACCCATAATATATGCCTTGAAATAGCATGATAGGAGACCTTTAAAACCCTGTTTAACTCTGAACAGATTATTAAACCTGGAGTTATTTCAAACAGGAACATTGTTTTCTAAAGTTACATCATGTTTTCTTTATTCAGTCTAAGGCGCTGCAGTTTGTCAGAGATCAGCTGTTCTGCTCTGATCTCAGCTCTGAAGTCCAACATCCATCTGAGAGATCTGGACCTGAGTTACAACGCTCTGCGGGCTTCAGGAGTGAAGCTGCTGAGAGATCTTCTGGAGAGTCCAGACTGCAGACTAGAGACTCTCAGGTCAGTTCACTGACTCTCTGTTACTGCTGGAGATCTCATGTTTCATTAGTTATTCAACCTGATTCTTCACATAATTAACTTACATCCATAACGTTATAAATGTTCTTTTATTCATACTTTCATTTGTAGGTACTAAAGTAAGAACTGCAGAGATACATGTTGACTGATTCTTAAAGGAACTGAAATAGATGTTAGTTGTAAAAAGTAAATCTATGTTTTTAATATTTAGTAAACGATGACGTCTGAATAAAGTTAATCTGAAGTAATATTAGTTTTACAGGATAAAGTTGACTTTCTGAAGAAGACATATGTTTTTGTTCCCATTCATTTCAATGTTGAGTAACACATCTGATTATAAACAGATTTGTATCCTCATCATGTTTTCTTTATTCAGACTGAGGAGCTGCAGTTTGTCAGAGATCAGCTGTTCTGCTCTGGCCTCAGCTCTGAAGTCCAACATCCATCTGAGAGATCTGAACCTGTGTAGCAACGGTCTGCAGGATTCAGATGGGAAGCTGCTGAGAGATCTTTTGGAGAGTCCAGACTGCAGACTGGAGACTCTCAGGTCAGTAAGGGGTCTCTGCTGGTTCAGCAGTATTGTATGAACCACAGGGAGGTGTTTCTCTCACTGGGGAAACAGATCAGTGATGTTACCCACTGACTGCAGGCTCTTTCATTCTTCCATCAACTATAGAAGGCCAGCTGGAAATGCAAAGCCACACTTTAGTAATCAACTCTCTAACAGACATATGGGGTTTTACAGAAGAGTGGGAAAGGTAGTCTGTTCTTATGGGATGTTTTTAGTTTCTAGCCCAGGGGTGTCCAAACTGCGGCCCGGGGGCCAAATGCGGCCCTCGGAATCAGCCCTCAGCAAATTCTGAAAGTATAATGAAATATGGCCCACAGATGAAACTTCTGCTTGTATTGTATTGTACTTCTTAAATATATATATGTACACATATATTACCCAGTAGTATTCATGTGTTAATAAGAGCCCACCTTTAAAATAAATTCAGTCAATTAAAGCTGAAAACATTTCCTAACAAATCTAACTTGATAAGAAAAAAGCCCAATAACTTATTGTTATAACAAGCGTGAAATAAACCCTTCATATTTCCTGTAATTATAATCAATCTGAAGCTCCTGCTTTAAGGAATGAGCTGCTGACAGAATAAAGTAAACCCTCTGGAGAGCTGAGAGCTGTTTTGTTTCTTAAAGCATCTTCAAGTAACAAGCATCCTTTACCTTCATTTGATTGAGTTTCCTGACTTATAACTGAACTTATGAGGCAGTAAACCTCTAGAGAGCGGCCCAGACCTTTATATATTTTTCTGTATGCGGCCCTCGGTGAAAAAAGTTTGGACCCCCCTGTTCTAGACCAATGAGTGGTTACTTCCTGTCTGACTCAAAGAACTAACACTTATTTTAAACTGGATCTTAAACTGTTGAATTGTGTTCATCCCTACAGGATCAGAGTAGGAGAGCCGATCAGAGCCACGATCCAGAAGACCTGTGAGTACTGAAACCATATCCTCCATTCATCAAGATAGTAAACTCTTTAATGGAGCGTGACCTCAGAGGAAAACAACACTCTTCTTTCTGTCTCTTCATCATTTTAGCTGTTTCTCTTAGTTTTATTATCATCATTATTCTCTCTCTCTCCTTCTCCTCTCAGGTGACAGGAAGTGAAGACACACAGAAAGGTGAGAGGTCGTACCGTGTGAAGTTTATTTATTGAGGTTTCAACACGTTTTTCTGGTGTTCCAGACAAATCTGCAAGCTCAGGTTTTATGTGTTCCCAGTTTATTCATCACGGGGCGAGTTTGAGACGTGAAGAGGAGCGTGGAGGCATTTTGGAAAATAAAGAAGAAGGCTGCAGCTGATGAGAGACTTCCTGTTAGCTCTCCTCAATATCAAATGAACAAAAACAATCAATTGTACTTAAAGCTTATCTTAAGAAGAAAGATGTGTTGCACATACACCTGCTGCTACCTACCACCACCTCCCACCCATCCCGGCACCAAAGAGGAGACTCCATCGACCCCAGATACCCCAACTCACTCTTCTTCAGGTTAGCTTGGAGCCCCGCCTTTACCTGCCCCAACATCTCACTTTGAACGATGTAGTCATCCGGATATCTGCATACTGAGAGTGGGACGCAGGACCCGGTCCATGAGCTGCTGGAAGGGGGTCCACTGGACTGGAGGGGCTCTTGGATCTGGTGATGCCTTGCTCTTCCTGAAAGGGGAGGACACCTATCTGCCATAGTTTCTCCACCTGACGACTGAGTTCGGCATCGGGGGTTCAGTTGGGGTGAAGAGACTCTGGGGGGCATCCGATGGCTCCTGAATAGGGGGGGTCCTTGCAGTGTCCAACCTAATGATAATAATAAGAATAAGAATAATGCATGTTATTTGTAAAGCACCTTTCATTGCTAAAAGTAATCTCAAAGTGCTACAAGGGGCATAATATACTTTATTTTTTTTAAAGAAACACAAGTTTAATAAAAGGCTTTAAAAAAAGAAAGGTTTTTAGGCCCTTCTTAAAGGAGTCAGTGGTCTGTGGAGTCCTCAGTTTGTCTGGGAGGGAATTCCACAGGTGAACAGAAAGCCCCCCCATGGTGCGGAGTTTGGTCCTGGGGGGGGAAGCAGATGGTTGGTTGTAGAATGGAGGTAGCGTGTGGAGGTTTGTGAGGAGAGTAGTTCCTTGAGGTATGAAGGAGCGTTCCCGTGGATGCTCTGATGGGTGAGGAGTGAGATCTTGTATTTGAACCTAGCTGGAGGGCTATTGGTGCCCCCTGTGGACCCAAAGAGACTCTTTTGGTTGGGGTAATGAGGTGAAAGTTATCTGCACCTATTAGTAGGAGAGGCTGCACTTTGGAAATGAGGGAAGGGGAAGGCCTTGTAGGCGGAGATAGTGTTTCTTGAGATCATCCACAGGATAACTCTAGTCCACAAGTGAAAGTCTGTCAGAGGTGAATGTGTCTTTGAGGAGGAATGTTTTTTCTTGGGATTGAAAGAGGGTGATATCTCAAAGGTCACTGAGGCTCCATTTCAGAATAATATATATGATATGTTTTATAATGATTGATCATTAAAGTGTTCTCAAAGCTGGTAAAGGTGCAGCTAGTTTGAATGACTTTGTATACTGCAGGGTAGTGTTGAGATCTCCATATTAGGTTGAATACTTAAAACGAAAGTTAATTATAATCAAATATAATCAATTATATTCTTGTATAACCCAAAATGAAAATGCTTCATATTTTATGGTTTTCTATATTTACAGTATAAACAAAACACAAGTGGTTTGTTAAATTGAGTGTGTAAGGCCTATAATGGTTTATGGGTGTCACTGATAAGAGAGGAGAGACAGTTTCTTCCCTCTTCCCTCACAGCAGTACACAGGGAGGGGGGCTCCTGACTTAAGGAGAAATACACTGAGGCCCCAAAAAGGTGGTTATGTCATAGCCGAGAATAATATTTTGCAGTCCTGCAGAGTAGGGGTCATGACCTTTTTACACAAACATGGGAAGGTGTGTCTTATGCCATAGCCATAGAATATGTCTGGACAAGTCCAGTCCTGTACATCAGAGGCCATGCCCAGTTTCCACAAATATGGGTATGGAGGAGGTGTCTTCAGGTTTTTCTGTCCTGTTTTTGTTTTTGGGTTTTCGCCTCGGTAAGGTTCTCTCCAACTTTGTAACTATTGCTTAAATCTCTGTGTATTGAATGCTGAGTGAATGGTTGGATGCAAGTTTAAAACTAGAATTCGAACTGATCATTCTGAGGAACTGACCTCTGAATGTGTCAGGCCATAGGGTGTGAATGTTAACCCCTGCGATCTGTGAGGAAATTCCTTTGGATTTTGTCGGAAGACTTTAATGTCTAAACTATGAATTAAGGTTTTAGATTAGAAAATGACCCCAGCATGGTATGTTTAGTATGATTGTAATGTTGTAACGAGAGAAGGTAAAAACCCTGTATACGTGTGGACCATTTTTCTTCAAATAAACTGATCCCACCTTTTGGACTGGGACAACTTAAAATACATCTGTGCTCTCCTCTCCTGCTTAAAGGTAAGATTGCACACTGCCACACTCACACTTAGGTAGGGCCACACCTCATTACTGATATCAAAATCCTTCTGGATCGCTTAAACAGATTGAGCGGGTCGTCTGAATTGAAACAGCAGTTAATTGAACCTGGTTCTCCAGGAGTTAATAGAGGTGAGATCTTGCTGACGTTGGTGGATCTGAGCCAAGCAGTAAACGTACATAGACTCAATAACTTCTGTTAGGTCAATTAGTAGGTCTGAGTAATTTGCCGGAATAAATTATCAGCCCTCCCGACTCCAACAGTGGCTTGTGAATTTACTCCAGGTGGAACTAAAGTCTGTTTTAACACTTGATTATATTTCACATCATTCATCCACATCTGTAAAGTAACTAAAGGGATTAAATACATGTAGTCAAAGTACACCATGTACCTCTGAACTGTAGTGGAGTAGAAGTAGTACACAGTTGCATAAAAAGAAAACTAAGCTTCCTCTCCAAGCTCAATGGCCTTGGAAGAGCTGCTAAGGAAAAGGAAAGCCACCTGGAGACTTTCGAGAGACAGCTAACGGACAAACTCAAGGAACTGAAAGGCACTCCCTAATAGCCCGTATGCTGTTTAGCCTTACCTTGAATGATTCAGTGCAGTGTTCTGTGCAGGTTTTCTGTTTGCTTTTTCAACTCAAGGAGCTCAAAGACTGATTGAAAGTTGATTTGATTTGCATAATTTCTGATTGCTGATTCAATGTGAAGGAAAATTCACATTTGAGTTGATACAGTATATGTGAGAAGCGGACTATTAGGTTTGAATGAGACCTTTGAGCGTTTTGCACCTAAATAAATAATTTAAATTAACCTTGTTTTGACTTTGCCTCTTTTGTTGATATGTGTGGTTTATACTACAATGTGCACCAATATGTGTAAAAAAGGTTTGCAGACATCAAGTATGATATGAATACACATTTTATTATTGATTGGTCATGGTGATTTTATGATTTTCTTATGGCTGCTTATCCTCCAGGACTTTTTGAAGGCTGCAAACAGAAGGAGAATGTTTTCTGTTAGTTTAGTGGTTCTGTCCTGGAGAGATGATCCTTTTACCAAATACAGTTACTCAAGTACATCTTCGATCTGTGCAAATTAGTTATGAGTCTTCAAACAAATCGCACTCAATTTAAGGCGGGGCCTCTCATATGACGCACACCTGCACACTTGCTCGCCTGTTCCACTCTTCGTTTTCCGAATGCCAGGAAGGATTCTTGCCTAGCTTCTGAAGGACCTGACTCGGAAGACTTGTCCTACGAAGGAAGCGTCCTCGACATTGAGGAACCCCCCCCCCCGTGTCTCAATTCAGGGACTGCATCCTTCGGAGGACGCAGCCTACGCGGTCCACGAAGGATGCAGACCGAGCGGCCTACGAAATGAGACGGTCCAGCCTGCGGAGCACTGCCTGTTTACGTCACATGATACGCGCTGTTCTGTTGCGCTGCTCCAGCAGCCTGATAGCATATGAGCTAACAAGCTAACTCAGCTGAACATGATCCAGAAACTTTACGACGATGAAATAAAGAGGACCATGGCCAGGTGAAGCTGTTCCTTTAGCCCCCAGTAATGTTACAGAAGTAAGTTAACAAGTACATTATATAGCTGATGTGATTTAATCATATTATTTCATATTTAACATAAGTCTTAATTTGTCTGTACTAATAAAACGATATGTTTTTTAAATGAACAACAGCATGTTGTTTAGATTGATTCTAAACAATATTAGTTTTCTAATCTTATTAGCTGTGATTATAATAGTTTATATTCTCCTTCTTCCCCTAAACCAGCCCAGATGATGTCCTACTGACCCCAGGTCAGCCCCTCCATGCCCAGCAGCACGGTGACCCCCCCGCTCTGCTGAAATACACAATTAAACATTTTCTATAGCCTATTTTTTGTATTAATATAATTAAACAGAACTTAAGACAGTTTAATGACCTAGAGATATCCTATTATTCCACTGCTTATGTACACATGTTGTAAATAATGGTTAAAACCTCAGTAAATGAAATAAACAATGTGTTTAACAATTACTATTAAACAATGTGTTTAACAATTACTATTTTAATTCAATTTTGTATTTTCATCTAATCACAAAGTAGAGGTAAGAATATATCCATCCTCTCTCTGCAGCTTCATGTCTTCTATTATGAGAACTTTCATCATTAAGACAGAGGAAATCAATCGTGCCATTTAACATCAACAGCAGTAAGCTATAATCATTAAATATCTATTAAAAGACAGGACACAGAAAAAATCAAATTCTGAAACTAAGACACAGAAAAGTGCAAGATAAAATATAGATAAATATAAACAAACACAATTTAGATTAAGTAATATAATCTTAATTGTAGATTAAATCTAGACAGTATTGCAAATAAATTAAATGTTAACAGCAATGTAATAAGTATATACAGTATATGCAAAATTAGATGTTATATATGGCACACAGATTAAATAATTTAATTTGAAGTAAAAGTATGTAAGGCTGAAGTGGCAGCAGTGTTGAGCTCTACAGCTCTGCACTCATACGTCTGGAGGACGGCAGTAAGCAGAGGATTGGGTGGATGATGTTTGGTGATGTTTTGAGGTAACGTGGGATCATGGGAGTTGTAGTCTTCACCTGCAATGCAGTCAGCTTTTCCCAGTTAAGATTCTTTTCATTTTAATTGATTAGAGCTATTTATCGGGAGCCACATTTATTTTCCACTGAGGTCACTAATGGACCAGGTGAATGACCCGATAAAATGTATGTACTATGTAGTCTCTCTACTTTAAAAAGTTCTCTCCTGCTGATGTTCAGGTGTATATCAGTATGTAGTGTCTCTACTTTAAAGAGTCATCTCCTGCTGATGTTCAGGTGTATATCAGTATGTGTCTCTACTTTAAAGAGTCCTCTCCTGCTGATGTTCAGGTGTATATCAGTATGTAGTGTCTCTGCTTTAAAGAGTCCTCTCCTGGTGATGTTCAGGTGTATATCAGTATGTAGTGTCTCTACTTTAAAGAGTCCTCTCCTGCTGATGTTCAGGTGTATATCAGTATGTAGTGTCTCTACTTTAAAGAGTCCTCTCCTGCTGATGTTCAGGTGTATATCAGTATGTAGTGTCTCTACTTTAAAGAGTCCTCTCCTGCTGATGTTCAGGTGTATATCAGTATGTAGTGTCTCTACTTTAAAGAGTCCTCTCCTGCTGATGTTCAGGTGTATATCAGTATGTAGTGTCTCTACTTTAAAGAGTCCTCTCCTGCTGATGTTCAGGTGTATATCAGTATGTAGTGTCTCTACTTTAAAGAGTCCTCTCCTGCTGATGTTCAGGTGTATATCAGTATGTAGTGTCTCTACTTTAAAGAGTCCTCTCCTGCTGATGTTCAGGTGTATATCAGTATGTAGTGTCTCTACTTTAAAGAGTCCTCTCCTGCTGATGTTCATGTGTATATCAGTATGTAGTGTCTCTACTTTAAAGAGTCCTCTCCTGCTGATGTTCAGGTGTATATCAGTATGTAGTGTCTCTACTTTAAAGAGTCCTCTCCTGCTGATGTTCAGGTGTATATCAGTAAGTAGTGTCTCTACTTTAAAGAGTCCTCTCCTGCTGATGTTCAGGTGTATATCAGTATGTAGTGTCTCTACTTTAAAGAGTCCTCTCCTGCTGATGTTCATGTGTATATCAGTATGTAGTGTCTCTACTTTAAAGAGTCCTCTCCTGCTGATGTTCAGGTGTATATCAGTATGTAGTGTCTCTACTTTAAAGAGTCCTCTCCTGCTGATGTTCAGGTGTATATCAGTAAGTAGTGTCTCTACTTTAAAGAGTCCTCTCCTGCTGATGTTCAGGTGTATATCAGTATGTAGTGTCTCTACTTTAAAGAGTCCTCTCCTGCTGATGTTCAGGTGTATATCAGTATGTAGTGTCTCTACTTTAAAGAGTCCTCTCCTGCTGATGTTCATGTGTATATCAGTATGTAGTGTCTCTACTTTAAAGAGTCCTCTCCTGCTGATGTTCAGGTGTATATCAGAACGTAGTGTCTCTACT